AAAGTGCAATGGGGCATGTATATAACATCTATATCCAGGATTACCCTGATCTAGCAGTTTAAAGAGAACTCTGTACCAACATGTGAGCAGCTTATAGCTATTCTACATCTTCGTATCAAAGAAGCTGGAGTAAATCAGTTGGTACAAGCACTCATGGTGAGTCTCAGAGACGTCATGGTGCAAGACTCTCTCCCACTCCCATATACACTATATTGCCAAAAGTATTGGAACAGCCCTCCAAATCATTGGATTCAGGTGTTCCAATCACTTCCATAACCATAAGTGTATAAAATCAAGCTCCACGAGACTGCTTTTACAAACATTTGAGAAAAAATGGGTTGCACTCAGGAGCTCTGTGAATTTAAACGTGGTACCATGATAGGTTGCCACCTGTGCAATAAGTCCGTCCATGAAATTTCCTTGCTACTAAATATTCCATGATCAACTGTTAGTGGTGTTATAATGAAGCAAATGGGAACAACAGAAACTCAGCCACGAAGTGGCAGACCAAGTAACATGGTAGAATGGGGTCACTGCATGCTGAAGTGCACAGTGTGCATAAGTTGCCAACTGCCTACAGAGTCAATAGCTAAAGACCTCCAAACTTCATGTGGCCTTTAGATTAGCACAACAACAATGCATAGAGAGCTTCATGGAATGGGATTTCCATGACCGAGCAGCTGCATCCAAGCCTTACATCACCAAATGCAATGCAAAGCGTCAGATGCAGTGGTGTAAAGCACGCTGCCACTGGACTCTAGAGCAGTGGAGATATGTTCTCTGGAGTGACGTATCCTGCTTCTCTGGCAATCCGACGGACATGTATGGGTTTGGTGGTTGCCAGGAGAACAGTACTTGCCTGACTGCATTGTGCCAAGTATAATTTTTGGTGGAGGGGTGATTATAGTGTGGGGTTGTTTTGCAGGGCTTGGGCTTGGCCCCTTAGTTCCCATGAAGACAACTCTTAAGGCGTCAGCATACCAGGACATTTTGGACAATTTCATGCTCCCAACTTTGTGGGAACAGTTTGGGGATGGTCCTTCCTGTTCCAACATTACTGTGCACCAGTACGTAAAGCAAAGGTCCACAAAGACATGGATGTGTGAGTTTGGGGTGGAAGAAATTGACTGGCCTGCACAGAGGCCTGACCTCAACCCGATAGAACACCTTTGGGATGAATTAGAGCAGAGACTGCGAGCCAGGCTTTCTAGTCTGACATCATTGCTTGCCCTCACAAATGTGCTTCTGGAAAAATGGTCAAACGTTCCCAAAGACACTCTCCTAAACCTTGTGGACAGCCTTCCCAGAAGAGTTGAAGCTGTTATAGCTGCAAAGGGGGGGTCAACTCAATATTGAACCCTACGGGCTAAGACTGGGATGCCATTAAAGTTCATGTGCGTGTAAAGCTAGGCATCCCGATACTTTTGGCAATATAGTGCTAAGTAGGGTTTCCTGACAGTCTCCTCCGATTTGAAGCAATTTGTACAGCACTGAGGAGTGCGGGACCTGTTTACCTGTAATATACAATTCTCAAACGATGTAAGCGTTGATAGTGGGCGAATTTTAGGCATTAGGCTGTGAACAAAGTGGTGGAGCTCTCTATAACACCAGTCATCCATGGGAACTCTCCTTGTTACCTTGCTTTGTACAAAACTATTTGCAGTCTTTCCCCATAACTGAGATCCTGACATTCCCTTTATGGCTTTGTTGCCCTTTTCTGCACTCTCTCCAGTGCCAGCAGATCTTTCCTGAGGACTGGTGACCAGAACTGGATGGCATACACAGGATGTTGCCAAACCAGAGCTTTGTAAAGTGGTAGAATTATAATCTGAAGTTGAGCATAGTATACTTCAACTGCAGTTGAAGTATAGTATAGATGGATCCTTTTCTGGCCCAAGGCTGCTACCTCTCTGATAGCTGCCTTTAGTAACAATAGGAGATGTTATTCTTCATCAAGCCTTAACACAGGTTCGCTAGTGCATTCTGTTGTGATTCTATTAACATTGACTGCTCAAGCCCTGAAAAATGGGGAGACTTTTTTCTCCTGAACACATTGGCTCTATTGGATACTTTTAACCATTAAATATTCCAAAAAGTCCTTCAAGTGAGATGAACTTTCGTACCTCGCACTCCTCAGTAGATAACTACTTAAAAAAAAGGAGGCGTGCTGTCTCTTAGAAATTCCAAAGTGCAATTGTGCATACATTATAACTATATCAAACCATATTATTATAGAGAAAATTGATAATTGAAAATTGACAATCTCAGCTTGTTACCTGTATGAAAGACACCTGGTAGCCAGAAATCCTGCTGAATGATAGGGGATCAAATACTTATTTCCCTCATGAACATGTCAGTACATAATTTGTTAGACATGCATTTCTTTTGAATTTTTTGTTGCTATTCTGTCTCTCAGTGTTACAATACACCTACCATTCGATTTTTAGACTGATCATTTCTTTGTGAGTGGGCAAACATTCAAAATCAGCAGGGGATCAAATACTTATTTCCTTCACTGTATGGATGGCTCTTTACTGCACTCAACAGTCCATGCTAAATATGTCAAAACATGCAAACTTAAAAGGTTTATGTGATATAACCCAGTACTCCACTCAAAATAGAAAAAAATATTAAAAAGGTGTATATGCGTACAGATGGACAAAAGTTAAATAAACAAGAAAAAATATTGCAAAGTTGAAGATGAATAAAGCAACCAAATGTGCAAAATGTCTGTATAGATGAATAAATATCCTGGTGAACAGTCCAAAATCAAGAAGGAAAATACCAAAGGAGAAGAAGACACACTTCAAAGTGTATGATAGAGAGCATTCAATGCTGCAGGAATAGAGGGTGCGAGGAACTCACACCACCCATATGTAAGGTGAACTCCTTACCGAGACACTGATCCCACACAGAGATCATTAAATATTCAGACACGCTACTCCATCTAGATATGATCCTGTATAAGTCTGCTTAGCACAGAGGAGTTAAAAACAAGAAGGGACCACCATAGTGCAGTATGTTATAATCAATGGCTTTTAATATGGTGATGTACTTACAATAAGAAGACAATCACAAGCAGTCCGCCAGTGTGCTTAATAGAGTCACGTGTTTGGCCCTGCCCTCCAGATTGTGTAGTGGATACAGCAGTCTTTATTTATTTTCTGCTTTTGCTAGCACAAGGAAATTATTTGGTTTACTCCTCAGTAGATATCTAAGGGGTAAGATTTTGTCAACGAGTAGTCAGTAGCAGAATAGAGAACACAACATTTAAACTGGCAAAGGTTTCAACGAGGAAACTCTTTACTGGTACATATACATTTTTATATTTTTGTTTTTTTTCTTATTTTTTACATAAAATCTTTATTTTGAACATTTTAAAAAGAGCAGATGCAATAAACCTCTAGTCCTCTGTTTCTCCCAGTAAAAATTAACACAGGGTGTAAATATGACACAGGATTTCCACAGCATTATGGGTTTTAGAAGGGCACAGCAGAAGCTGTTTGTTGTCAGCGTCTCTAATTGAACATTTTTTTGGCTCTGTGTGAAGAGAACAGGGATGGATCATGTACCCATTACTTTGTGTTTGAAAATGTAAACTTCCAATATTGAACTCTGTGCATTTATAGCAAAGTGATTAATGAGTTTAATAAATATGAATACTCATATTCAATATTGCATATTTACCTAAAAAAATTTAAACAAGATATTTAAACTTTTTCTAGTCATTGTCATAATAAAACAGCTGTGAATAAGAGATGCTTTTATTTCTTTTTAGGAAAAAGCAGTTTACTGCATAATATAACAAAATGCTTTGTGCACTCTTTCTCTAAAAGTATTTTGATTAGCTCACACCTGAAAATCACTAAAATCATGTTCTCAGGCAGGGAAAGGACATTCCTGATAGCTTCCATTTTGAAATGAGAGTTGGATCTACCGTGTAGGTTGCTGCTGCCATTTCACAAGTTTAATATCTACAAACACGTTAAGTAATGCATGATGTTTGTTGTTACAATCTAGCAATTTAATGTAAACATTGGGCTTATGAAAGCAAGATCTTATCTTTTTATTTCACAATGTAACAACATTTTTATGAAAGGATTTGTTCTCGTGTCTTGCGAGGTATCTGGAGATCCTTAGGAAAAGGCCTTGGGTGGCCAGTATTATCTATGAGAAAAGCCCTACTCATCTATGACTTTTTATCAACTTCTAAGAATGCTGCAATATGCTTGTGTCTTAGATCTGTATTTGAATTTTAAATGTGATAAGTGTGTGTGTGCACGCACGGGCGTATACACGGATTTGATTAAATCTGAATATACCATTCAATGTGCAGGCCCTCTGTGTCCTCTTGTATCAAATTGTATTGTAACTGTAATGTCTACCTTCATTTTGTAAAGCACTGCAGAAACTGTTGGAGCTATATAAATCCTGTATAATAATAATGCACTGTTTTTCTTACACCTAGGCCATGCTGTTCTTTTTGTTACTTGATTATACACTATTCAGTAACTGGCTTTACTCATAGTATATCATTTTATTTGCTTAATACCTAATATACATATATGAGAATGTGCATTGGCTGCACAAAAGAAGCAACACACTAGGAATGTGTATGAATTATCATACACAAAGGTTTCATTTAAAAAAAAAAAAAAAAAAAAAAAAAAAAGCTTGTTATAGCTAGCAAACTTTCCCTTGTAGAACAACTTCTGAAAGTCTGAAACCTGAGCCTGAACTATTCTTTGGAGTCTAAAAAAAACACAAAAGAATAGAATGACATCTACGCATGTTTCAAGGAAATGTGAAGTATGCAAAAGCCTTTTCTTGGTGTATTCTGAGAATGACACAATCATTGGATCAGTAGTAACAGGAATGAGGAAACTGTGCATGGTTAAGTGGGAGGTTGAATAGAGGTTAGCACATATGTATATGGTGAATCACCTTTCTTTTAGCTGTTCATTACATTTGTTGCTATATCATCAGCCATGAGGTCTCTGATGCAAATCATAGGGATCCTTTTCCTAACAATTGCTTTAGTTGATGGGAAACTGTATGAGAAATGTGAACTTGCAAAAGCCATGAAAATTTTGGGACTGGATGGATATCGAGGATACAGTCTGCCAAACTGTAAGTAGTTTTGTACTTGGTGCTTGCTACATGGTCTAAGGATTCCTGTTAAGTCAGTGTTAAAATACTTGAATAGCTTAAATAATACATATTAAAAATACAACAACTTTATTCATTTGGCTTTGACTTTATTCATGTATATTTGAACTCCCCTAATATAGGAAGGGTCTTAAGAGAAATATTTATTTTTCATAATCTAAGGCCAGCCTATACGATAGCAGTGGGAAGGACTTACCATTGTTAGATATATCTTTCAAAATAATGCAGCTAAATTTCCAGGTTTGTGCTTTAGCCTTTTCTTGGGAGAAAATGCTGTTGTTTTTTGTTCCTCAAAAAGACAGAGAAACTTAATTTTGACTCCTTTTAAATATTTCTGAAAAGTGTGTAAAAAGTTCTGTTAAGATAATACAATCAGGTTAAAGATGTGTTATTTAATTGTACTCAGGTGAGGGCTTGCCTTTGAAATGTTCATTGGTTAAAGTGCATGCATTGCCATTTTTTTGCTTTTAAGAGTTTAGGAAAGGATTAGAACCTCAGTAATTAGCAATAACACACCCCACAATTAGTAATAACACACAAACCTATCATAAGCACCTTTTATGCAACCAACAATTAAAGATTTTAGGGTGCTTAAACCCCACTACAGTGTAACAACTAGCTAATACAATAATGTAAATATAGAAACAGAAAAGTGACGGCACAAAAAAGACCAAGTGGTCATTGAGTCTTTTTTTTTTTTAATTTACACTTTTTTTTAACTTTTTTTTTTTAAAATATATATCTAGGTTTATCCAAAGCTTGTTTGAAGCCACTACTGTTGACTGACTCACTACCACTGCTGGAAGTCTGTTCCAAGCATCAACTACTCTTTCAGTAAAATAATACTTTTTAAGATTAGTTTTGAATTTTCCTCCAGTTAGTATGAGGCTATGTCCACGTATTCTTGATCTTGGTTTCATATTGAAAATACTGTTCTCTTGAACTGTATTCACCTCCTTGATATATTTAAAGGTTTCAATCACGTCTCCCCTTTCCCTTCTTTCCTCTAGACTGTATATAATAAGTTCCTGAAGTTGCTCCTGATATGTTTTATTGCTCAGGCCTTTCACCATTCTTGTTGCCTGTCTAAGTACTTGTTCTATCTTATCAATATCTTTTTGTAAGTGAGGTCTCCAAAACTGGACACAGTATTCTAAGTGAGGTCCGACTAAAGATCTATATTGGGGAATCAGGACTTCCTTCCTCCTGCTGGTGACCACTCTAGTGATGTATCCTAGAATTCTATTTGCTTTTTCAAATTGCCTGGCCACAGACCAGAATAAGCACATCACCTAAAAGAAGTATGTTAATAAAAATGTTTTACAAAAACTGTGATATGGTGATTGTCACGTACCTGGTTGGGGAGCCTGATGTGGAGAGAAGGCATCCTCTTACGACTCCCGCTCAGAGCCCCTGATAGTGGGAACAGGGGGCGCAGAGCCAGGAGTGGCACGAGTGCCGGGTAGATCTGGAGTTGGCGGCAGGTAGCTGGGGACCCAGGAGATCCGGATGCAGGCCAGGTGCGGATGCAGGAGCGTAGATGCAGCAGCAGGCCGGTAAGGTGGCAAACAGGATGCAGACTGGACTGGACACAGGAGCGGGGATGTGGCAGCAGGCAGGTATGGCTGTGACCAGGATGCAGGCCAGGTGCAGGACCGTGGGTGCAGCGGCAGGTAAGTATGGCAGTGACCGGGATGTAGGCCAGGTGCAGGACCGTGGGTGCAGCGGCAGGTAAGTATGGCAGCCATCAGGATGCAAGCCAGGTGCAGGTACAGGTAAGTAGGTGCAGCAGAGTCAGACAAGCCGGGTCAGTATCAAGCAAGAAGATCAAGTACAAGGTAGCAGGCAAGCGGATGATCAGGGATAGCCGAGGTCGGTGCAGGCGGAGTTCTTTCTTAGTCAGGTCTGATCAGGATACAGGCAACAGAATCAGGTAATATGTGCAGGGATTAAAGGATGGAATGCACCAGGATTCCCAGAGCACTGGGTCCAAAAATACAATATTGAAAAAATGACCCAATTTATAAATAATGCTGACTCACATAATTGTACATATGTGGTGTCCTCGGGACTCTAGTCATAGATAGAAGAATAACATGAAGAACAACCTAGTGGGTGAAGAACCCACGGGTCAAGGGGGTCCGAATGAGGACAAACCGCAGCCTACAAATAGGCTGAGTGCCTTCACTCATCCACAGAGACGCCAGGAATTTTGTTGTCAGTTGTCACCATGTACATCTAAAGCTTACTGACTGATGCACATAAGATAAGAGACATACCACATAGCGTAAAACAACCCATAAAAAGGTATTTATTATGTCTAAGCACTTACAAACCTCCAAAAGTAACACAGCATATAACATGGTACAGCAACATGGAATTCCACCATCAAAGATGGCCACCATTCCTTCCCACATGCTCAGTAGCATGTATCAGAGTCCACCCTGGATTAGTTTTGGGTTTGTGAGTGCTGCTTTTGTTATATACATAGGTATATCTGTTGTGCCGAGTATGTAGGCATAGGGGTAGATTTGCTAAAAATGGAGCACTCAGAAACTGGAGCAGCTGTGCATGGTAGTCATTAAGCTTCCAACTTCAACTTGTTCAATTAAACTTTGACAATAAAACCTGGAAGCTGATTGGTTACTGTGCAAAGCTGCACCAGATTCTGTGTGCATCAGTTTTAGGAAATCTCCCCCATAGTGTCAGCAGCTAATATATGCATAGATGCACCTGAGCGCAGATATTTAACTTCTATTCTCAATATACAAGTATGTCATATTCTGTCAAGCATAATACAGCATATGTATTTGCTGCATTCTTCATTCTAATCTATAGCCAAAAGAATACATGAATATACATAGGTGGAGTGAGCAGTCATATAGCAGCTTATCTTGAGAAATACAGTTGTGTTCAAAATAATAGCAGCGTGTTGAAAAAAGTGAATAAAGCTCAAAATCCTTCTAATAGCTTTTATTTCCATACACACAAATGCATTGGGAACACTACACATTCTATTCCAAATCAAAACATGTAGAAAAATATATCAAATTTGTGTTGTTCCTCTAAAAAAATTGAAGAAAAGTGAATATTATACTGTTCAAAAAAAATAGCAGTGTTTGTATTCTTCTTTACAAACGCAAACATTCACTATATAAACTGAAAAATGTTTGAAGATTTTGCTTTCCTTTGAATCACTTAATGAATATTTAGTTGTATAAGCACTGTTTCTGAGAACTGCTGTACATCTGTGTTGCATGGAGTCAGCCAACTTCTGGCACCTGTGAACAGGTATTCCAGCCCAGGATGATTGGACTACATCCCACAGTTCTTCTCTATTTCTTGGTTTTGCCTCAGAAACTGCATTTTTGATGTCACCCCACAAGTTTTCTATTGGATTAAGATCCGGGGATTGGGCTGGCCACTCCATAACGTCAATCTTGTTGGTCTGGAACCAAGATGTTGCATGTTTACTGGTGTGTTTGGGGTCCTTGTCTTGTTGGAACACCCATTTCAAGGGCATTTCCTCTTCAGCATAAGGCAGCAAGACCTCTTCAAGTATTCCAATGTATTCAAACTGATCCATGATCCCTGGTATGTGATAAATAGGCCCAACACCGTAGTATGAGAAACATCCCCATATCATGATGCTTGCGCAACCATGCTTCACTGTCTTCACAGTGTACTGTGGCTTGAATTCAGTGTTTGGGGGTCGTCTGACAAACTGTCTCCGGCCACTAGACCCAAAAAGAACAATCTTACTTTCATCAGTCCACAAAATGGTGCATGCATGGTAAAATATATACTACATTTGTATCGTGTTTTCTTCTGGATTTTTGGTTGATATTCTGTCTCTATCATTTAAAATACACCTATGATAAAAAATTATAGACCCTTCATTTCTTTGTAAGTGGGCAAACTTACAAAATCTGCAGGGGATTAAATAATTATCTTCCCCACTGTATGTCAACACTAAATAAACAACATAGGTATTATAAAGCAAACGTTTCTTTTTAATGTTGAAAACATGGCTTTTCAGGGGTTTGCACAGCTTTCTACGAGAGTTCCTTTCACACAGACAACATAAACTTCAACCCTGGAGACAACAGCACTGATTACGGTATTCTTCAAATAAACAGCCGATGGTGGTGTAATGATTACAAAACACCAAGGGCCCACAATGCTTGCAAGATTGACTGCTCAGGTAAGTTATCTGTATTGTACTGTTTTTTTCATGACGTAAGAATGGTTTTTATTAGGGATCCACCAATAGCAAGTATTTTCAAGAGTACTCGGACTCGTGAAAATACTCCCGATACTGTAACTGAAACTTTGTGGTGCAATTTGCGTTAATGGACACAAATTTTCCGCAAAGATTAGCATGTGATTTGAACAGGAATGCACTTCCTGTCCAAATTGCATGCGGTTTCCCCTCTGCTCCTATGTGAACTCATAGCCCAAGTTCACACAGGAGCAGTGCTAGAAACCTCCCTGCAGGTATCCCATGCCGAGTGTCAGTGATAGGAGAGGAGAGAAAGTGGCGGGGATTTGAAATCCTCGCTGCAGTCTTTCCTCTCCTTGCAGCAATGACAGTTCAGGCTAGACAGCATCTGATTGGTCAGCAGCTGACCTCTTCTCTCCTACCACTGACACTCAGCATGGGATGCCTGCAGGGAGGTTTTCCAGCACTACTTGACTGTATGTCAAGCCTTGGTTCACACAGAATCAGTGGGGAAACCGAGTGCGATTTGGACGGGAATCGCATTCCTATTCAAATCGCAAGCTATTCTTTGTGGCGCAGTTTGCGGCCATTAACGCAAATCACACCACAAAGTATCGGTACTCTGTATTGGCAAATACTTGACCAAAAGTATTGATACTCATACTCACCGATTAAAAAAAACAGTGTGTGTTGCTATAACAAGTATCTCTGGCCTAACGGTCGTAAAGGTGGTGGGGTTGGTCTGCTCCTGTCACCGCAGAGCACCTTCCGAGTCCTCCCAAACCCCCCCTCCCTATCCTTTTCCTCCTTCGAGGCCCACTGCGTCAGACTATTCTCCCCAACCCCCCTGAAGATTGCTGTGATATATCGGCCTCCTGGATCCATACCCCGCTTCCTGGATGACTTTTCCTCCTGGCTACCCTTCTTCCTCTCCTCTGAGCTACCCACCATCATCCTTGGGGATTTCAACATCCCTGTCAACCTCGACAACCCGGACAAATCCCGTCTCCTCCACTTAACCTCCTCCTTTGCACTTGCACAGTGCATACAATCCACCACCCACTCCAACGGTAATATTCTTGATCTTGTCTTCTCCAACCGCTGCGCTCCCCACAACCTCACTAACACCCCCTTCCCTCTCTCTGACCACAACCTGATTACCTTCTCTATCTCCTCGTCCTCCAATGCCTACCCCTCCAAATGTCACACTACTACCAGCCGTAACCTCCGCAACCTTAACCCTGCCCCCCTCCACTCTGCAGCTGATCAACTCCACGACTGCATCCTCCCCCTGTCCTGCCCCGACTTGGCCATGACTGCCTACAACAACGCGTTGTCAACAGCCCTTGACTCACTAGCGCCTTTAACCACACGCATCATCAGACCCCGACCGCTCCAGCCCTGGCAGACTGATCACACCAAAACCCTCAAACGACACAGTCGTGCCCTGGAGCGACTATGGCGCGAAACAAAATCCCAACAAGCCTTCACCCGCTACAAATCTGCCTTCCGCACCTACACCTCCTCCCTCCACGCAGCCAAACAAGCCTACTTCCTGACCCTCATCAAGACCCTCTCCTCCAATCCTCGCCGACTCTTCTCCACCTTCAACTCTCTACTCTCTCCACCCCCACCTCCACCCAGCACCTCACTCACTGCCCTTGAGATTGCCAATCACTTCAAAAACAAGATTGACACAATTCGCAAGGACATTGCCGCAACTCACACGCCCTCTCAACCCGTCCCTTCTCATACAGCTACCCCCTCATCCTCCCTCTCCCTCGACATAACCCGCAGGGACTTCGTTGCTGCTCAAACTCCCTCCAACCCCCTTCCCCCTCACTCAGCTACCCCCTCATCACCCCTCTCCCACGGCCCCACCACTTCTCTGACCTCCACTTCCACCCCACCCTACATTCCTCATACTGAAGCTCCCCCAACACTCCGCACCTTTGACCTTACCACCATCGAGGAAGTCTCCAAGATCCTCTCTGATGCCCGCCTCACCACCTGCCCCCTCGACCCTATCCCCTCACAACTCCTACGACCTCCCTCCCCCTCCATCCTATGCTCCCTCACCCACATCTTCAATCTCTCCCTCTCCTCAGGCACTTTCCCCTCCCCTCTGAAACATGCACACATCACCCCCATACTTAAAAAGCCCTCCCTTGACCCCAATGACCCGAACAACCTCAGACCCATCTCCCTGCTTCCCTTTACATCTAAACTCCTCGAGCGCCTCGTCTACACCCGCCTATGCTCTCACCTCAACGACAACCACCTCCTCGATCCCCTACAGTCTGGCTTCCGTCCCCTACACTCCACCGAAACCGCCTTACTCAAACTCTCCAACGACCTTCTAACCGCCAAAGCTAATGGCCACTATTCAGTGCTCATACTCCTTGACCTCTCCGCAGCCTTCGACACAGTCGACCACCCCCTCCTCCTCAAAATACTACACTCCCTCGGCCTCAGAGATTCTGCTCTCTCCTGGCTCTCATCCTACCTGTCAAACACAACGCTCTTTCAGCGTTACCTATAATGCTACCACCTCCCCCTCACTCTCCCTCTCTGTTGGGGTCCCTCAAGGCTCTGTCCTTGGGCCCCTTCTCTTCTCCATCTACACCTCCTCCCTTGGTCAACTCATACACTCTCACGACTTCAACTACCACCTCTATGCCGACGACACACAAATCTATCTCTCAACCCCCCACCTCACCCCCTCGGTCTCTGCCCGAATCACACACCTACTGAGCGACATATCAGATTGGATGTCGCTCCACTTCCTTAAACTGAACCTCTCCAAAACCGAGTTTCTTGTCTTCCCCCCAGCCCGGACCCCACCCCCCATTGACTTCTCCATCACATCCAACAACGCCAATATCAAACCCGCCCTGCAGGCCAGAGTACTTGGTGTCATTCTGGACTCCAATCCATCCTTCCAGACCCAAGTACAATCTTTAACAAACTCGTGCAGACTCCACCTCCGCAACATCGCCAAAATACGTGCGTTCCTAACCCCAGAAACCACTAAACAGCTCATCCACTCCCTCATCGTATCACGACTCGACTACTGCAACTCCCTCCTCACTGGCCTGCCTCGCCGCTGGCTATCCCCGCTTCAGTCGATCCTGAATACGGCTGCCAGACTCATTCACCTTTCCAACCGCTCCGTTTCCACCACCCCCCTCTGCCAATCCCTCCACTGGCTTCCGATTGCGCAACAGATCAAATTCAAATCCTAACATTGACGTACAAAGCCGTCCACCATACTGCCCCGAACTACATCACTGACCTAATATCCAAGTACTGCCCAGCACGCACACTCCGCTCCTCACAAGACCTCCTTCTCTCTAGTTCCCTGGTCTCCTCCTCCCATGCCCGCCTCCAGGACTTCTCCAGGGTGTCATTCATCCTCTGGAACTCCCTGCCCCAACCCATCAGATTATCACCTACTCTCCTCTCCCTTAGGCGCACACTGAAAACCCATCTCTTCAGGGAAGCCTACCCCACCCCTGCTAACTTGCCGACCTCCTCCACTCTTCCTACCACTCCATCCCCCACAGCTATCTCCTCCTGTACCACTATCCCCTCCCTCCTAGATTGTATGCTCCAAAGAGCAGGGCCCTCAATCCCCTCATGTTTTGCATTGTATTGGTATTGTTCTGTCACATGTTCTGTCCCCCTTTGTAATGTACAGCGCTGAGCGAACTATTGGCGCTTTATAAATACTGTATAATAATAATAATACTTTTTATAGCAACACACATTGCCAACAGCAGAATATAGAGTCCAGAAAAAAAAAGATTTGATAACTTTGAATACCCAGATAAAAAATTACTTCTTTATACTTTACACAGCTAGCTTTTGTCAGGTATAACAGTGCTTCTTTCCATCAGCTCATCCACTGTAGTCAAAGCATTCACATTTTGTGGACTTAAAAGCAATTCTGCTACAAACTTGCCAGTTCTGTGCTTTGCACATTTTTTTTTGTATAGTGTGTGGAAGGGTTGGAACTGTCTGGTTAAATGCTTTGCCCTACTGATATTTAACTGTAGTTGGGCTTTACATATTTGCATTTTCACTCATGAAAACTGCATACATTTTATAACACCAAAATGTAATTTTTACTGTTCTTAAGAATAAATAATGAAACTTAAAACCCCTACTACTGTTTTTTAGTGCTTTTTGCAGAAACACATTACAGTCCATTTAACATGGTTTATTATTGGACATGTTCACATCAATGCGTTTTTCAGCCGCTATGTTTTTGGAAAGGGTCAGGGATTTTTTTAAACACCCAATGGTGCATTTTTGGTTCAATAGACTTCAATAGAGATGCTGCAGAAAACACATGTAGTGTGTTTTTGACACGTTTCATGTATTTTTGATGAGTTTTGCATTTTTTTAATCTGCTCAGCAACAAGTTGGCCAAAATAAAAATGCAAAACGCATCAAAAAAGCATGAAAAGTGCTGCAAAAACACAAAAGGCACTGCAAATAGTACTGCAGAAATGTATCAAATGCAAGCTGCATGGGTGTGAACCAAGCATACGTAAAGAAAATGGATGTCAAGGCAATCTTTAAACCATCAACAAAATGGACAAACTTGTGTTAGACAATATGGGGCCTATGTATAAAAACTTCCCTCCTCCATTCATAACAGCTGTACTATAGCTTCCATAAATGAAAAGTGATCTTTGAATGGAAGAGTCAAACCTTTCATCCATCCATCCACCCTGCATTCATAGAGCACTTTTCATTCATGGAAGCTATAATACAGTTTCTATATATGGAGGAGGGGGGGTGTAAGGAGCGAGCATAGCCAGCATTCTGAGTGCCTGTAACAGGTCCTGTGCTTGTATTGCCCCCTTCCACACCAGACGATTACAGCTTCAAGGGTATGGGAAGGAGCAGAGGACTTGGAAATTCCACTATTTCAGCCGGCACCAGCATATGGGACACTTCAGATTAACTGTAATGTCCACTGTGCTGATTTTTTTAAAAACATTTGTATCCCTAAATCTAGGCTTTAAAACAAGCTCATGGTTGCTGCTGCAGCCATAAGCTTGGTATTAATTTCATGTGAAAGTGATCCAGATGGCTATAGAGCTGTCCAATCACTTTTACA